TCCAATCAGTAAAACAAAATTTTGATCATGACCCACTACTTTGGTTTGACAGTCCAGAGTTTAAGAATCTTTGAGTTAGATGCTGAAATCTCTAGGCTTTTCCAAGCATTCTCCTGTTCCCCTTCAGCATGCTGCCATTATCAACCCACCTTGCATCTTAGATTACATCAGCTTGTTATTCAAATTCCTCATTGAAATCACAGTCAGCCCTGGGATGCTCCAGCAGAATTCTTCCCCTTGCAATTTTTGCAGAGAGAAGCACCTGCAACTCAATCTCACTTCAACCTCCCTGTCTCCAGCCAGCCTGGACCTGTCCAGAAATTCACAGTGAGTTTTGGATGGAGAGTTTCTCTACTAGGATAGGTCTGTAATGGCCAATCCAATAAGCATTTACTGAGTGTCTCCAGCCTGTCCAGACTAAACAATAAATACATACACAGGACCGTCACTGTGCAGAGGGCTGCTTCTGTGCCATTAGCTGAAATTTCTTCGGCAGACATCCATCACGTTAAACCACAAGAAACTCCTTCACTGCCCCCTCATTACTCAGCCTTAGCTTGACTAGAATCTATAATTCTGGGTTTCTTTGAAGTGTGGTTGCAAAGCCCCATCACCTAACAACACACACAAAGGCAAAAGACTTTTCAGTGGAATATCTTGCTCGGAGTAGCATGAACATATTCCTGGACAGAATAGGAAGGGGCTCAGACTATGATAGAACAAAGTAAGCCCACCCTTTTGCCTTTAGGGAACTAACACTTCTTCATGGGACAGGTGCAAGGTAGAACCTAATTATGCAGATCCGTTTGAGGGATGAACAGAAGCAACTTTGGGGAAAGCTATTAATGCCATTTACTGAATCACCCATGTTGGCTTTGTCAGTGTCTAATGCAGAATTCAGAATATTAGACTGATTCCTCACCCAGGGAGGATTTACAACTTAAGTAAGCAACCCCAGCTCCTCTGCTATAGAGAAAAGAGGCAAGTTTCCTCTCCTAACAAAGAGTTAGACAAGGAGAGTTCCAAGTGTCAAACCCTGGGTGAGAAATGAGGAGGGGGCTGACACTGGTCTTCTGTCCTTGAGCTTATCTTTTCAGCAAGCATTTGGATGAAGCCACAGAAGGTATGTTTATCCAATAATGCTGTGAGATGTAGATGGAGCTGACATACTCAACAAAATAATTTATATTCAAAACGTGCTGGAATACCGGGATGAAATTAAACAAGAGAAAAATCTAATAGATATGAAGTAGTCCAACACTCAGGTTACTAAGTCACCTGCCCCACTAAGGGCAGTCCATGGAAACAGGCATGGAGATTTTATGAGCCAACATTGTACACCCCTACTAGACATGGTATACGTCTTAGGGAGGACATGAGGCATTGGAGTCCTGGAACAGGAGCTGAGCCTGCATTAGCGAGATAACATCTGCAGTATATGTACCACTTGGACGTCCCATTTTATATAGATCAGCACAGTAAATCCAGAGGAATGCAACCAGGATACAGAAGGGTCTGAAAATATATTAATACAAGGAACAGCTGGAGAAACAGAGAAGATGAAGAGAAAAGACAAGACAACCATCTTCAAATGTCTAAAGGGATTGCCACTGGCAAAAGATGGTAGAATTTGAGGACTAAAATGAATCCCTGACAGTAATGGATTACAACCCATGAAATAATAAAAAAGCCCATGAGCCAATGCTAACAACAAATATCTAAGCCTAGATTCTTAGGGCTGGCAAGCAGAAAGAGGAGTCAGGTGGTTCAGTTTATAGACAGATGACTCAAAGCTACTTCCCCTTCAGTCTAATATAGAAAAGAACCTGGCAGCAATGAGTTAATGAACGATGAACCAGGAGGGCAGAACTCTACTCACAACTTTCAAAGATCCCCACAGTCTGCTACATAATTGTGCACTCTTATTCATAGCATCTAAACTTTTATGTTCCCTCTCATAAGGGTGGGAAACTAAACTTTGCTGAATGTCTAAAAGGTGCCAAGCAAATATATATATTTTACTTCATCCTTCCAACGACTCAGAGAGACAGGTATCATCTTTGTTTCACAGAAAGGGAAATTAAGGCGCAGTAACCCATACAGCGTGACCCAGAGAGTAGATGCCAGAGCTGGGATTTGAACCCAGGTGTGTCCAAAGGCCTTCCACCCAACCACAGGACACAAAATACACAAGGCGACTGGAGAGGTGCTCCTCTCCAGTCTGTCATGTCCCTTTAAAGGTTACATTTTCCTCGTCTAACCAGCCTGTGGTACCACTATTCTAGTTCATCTGGGTTAGAAGAGGAAGACCGGGGCTTTTCCTAGAAACCCGTTGTTGAAATAATGCTGATCCCTGCCCCATCCCCTCCCCACAGCAACCCTTGTTTGCCCTTCTCTTGAATACAGTCCAGTTTACCTGAATCAACTCACTTTGTTATTTTCTCTTCTTCAGAGTCTATTCACCCGACCACTTGGAAACCAATGGAGACCAGTTTCCTAGTCTTCTGGGATAGTCAGGGGGAAATTTAACACTGTTGATAACATCTATGAACTCAAAGATACCAATTAATGGTTTCTCTGATGAAGGGGAGTGCAGGTTAAGGGGGACACGTGGCTGTCCTGTTACCATGGCTCTGTGTTAGAAGAGTAAGAACATTCTGAATTACAGCGCATGGTCACAGATAGGCCCTCTCTTCATTTTATTCTGAAAGTATGACTATTTCTAAGTGATTTTCCAGGTTTTGTGTCTGGAACACGGAATCTGTCATTGTCTCCCAACCTGCTGCTCACGTCTCCCAAGGCCTGAGAAGGTAGTTGGGGATTAATGTTTCCAACAGGTCAGGCTCTCCAGCTGACTAAAGCTTTCTGCTTGGAGGTAAGGAAATTTCTAGGCTTCTTTAGCACATTTAAAAATACAGTGTTTGTATATTTGGCTACTTTCAGACCACCTGTTTTTGCTGCCTCTTAATGCTGGAGTTCCCCGTGATCAGGGACCATGTCCCCTCTGATCATTCATTCCATAAGCATTTCCAGAGCATCTGTGTGTGCTGTGTGCCAGGGGTAGAGCAGCAAAACAGACAGACACAACCCCTGCCCTCATCAGGGCTTAACAGTCTGGCTGTAGAGACACACACAAAACAAGAATTATACAAATAAGGATTCACACTCAACAAACAGTCCACATCTCTCTACAGTATCCAGCACAGAGCTCGGCACATGGTGGGTGCTTTTTCACGAATATGTGACTGATGTTTTTGTGGAAAGCGCACAAAGACTGACTAGCTGAGTTAATTTTAGCTTTGGGAGTTTAGCACTGTGACTTTCAGAGTAAGTGAATCAGGGAGATCTGGGTTCTGGTTCCTGCTTTTCCATTAACTACTAGAATTTTCTTGGGTGAGTCACTCAGTCTTCCTGGGCCTCAGTTTTCTTACTTGGAGAATAACGTGTAAGGACCAGGATTCCTCGCTGATAATGAGATGCCTGCTGTCAGGGGTGTTCTAATCTAGCCTTCCTTACCTTGTGAGAGACAAGGAACGGCTGGAGCTGAGGGCTTCCTGAGACAAATGGCTTCAGCACAAGTGTCTGTGTCTAAGTCAGGGCTGTGGGGAAGACGGAGGAGCAGCTGGAAGGAACGAATCCCCTGGACCATGAAACTACTAGGCTATGTCTGAACATGGGAAACACTGCACTGCACTTACCACCCACTGACTGTTGAAAAAGAAACACTTTCATTCATAGGATATTCTAGGTTATATTTCTAAACAACAGATCAGAGGAGAAAGGAAAGTACAGAAATAGTTTCCTTTGTATGTTTTAACAAGTGGAAAAAACCAATTTTCCATCCACTCTGATAGTCAAAAATGACTTAGAAACTTGAAGGCACGATGTCAGATAGAATTACCTTGAATGTCCTTGAACATTGGTCTAGAGTGTGATTTAGCACCATGACTTTAGGAAGTTTGGGGATAGCATTCTTTTCCCAGTAAGAAAAAAATTAGGAAAAATTCTAATGAATGCATATCATCTTAAAAAATACCCATAACTTAGAAAACTACAATGAAGCAAGGACACAGCCTTTGTCTGGGGATGAAGACTAGGCCAAAATACTAGGTCTAAATACTAGGGCCAAATCCACACGTTCATGAAGAAATTCACTAACATACAGCAAAAGATCATCTCATACTCTTCCAACCCTGAGGTAAGCCAGTGAGAGTAGGGTCGGACACAAAACCTTCTCCTGCCCCTGCTGCAAATTCAGACAGTTGGGTTCTTCTCCTAGCTTGAGCAAAGGCATCGAGTCTCTGCTACAGTTTCCTTTCTGTCACTCTCCATCAGATCTCCTCCTTTTTGCTAACTTGCTCCAAAATGTAAGAGAGCAAGCGATCAAGCTTTCTCATGAGACTACTATGTCCCTACAGGCTGCTTCATGCAACACTTCCTGGTCCTCTGTCCCTCAGGAACTGACCCCCAATAATCTGCCCAGAGCATCATTTCCACCAGAACCCCTCTGGATAGGAGGCCCCTACCAACCAGCATCTCTGTGGCCATTTCCCAAATCATTGGTCTTGGTCTAACTTTGCGATGAGCCCTGTTCAAATTATAAGTAAGAGCCAATCATAGCCACTAAGGTCTCAGGAAACTATCTCAGCCTCATCTCCCTGAGTCCCAGACTCCCAGAAGGCAGAGCAGCCCGAGCAGCCCAAGTAGGGCAGCTCAGAAGGAGAGGAGACCCAGAGCCTCTCATCCTCGCCACTTCTGCTAAACTCTCATAGCATGAGAGGGTCTGGCTGACCACCCCAATCTTCTGTCCCCTCAGACAAGGTCTCCACGCTGTGACACACCTCCTCCAGCCCTGCTCTTTCTCCTTTGGCTGGCACAAAGAGACAACCAGTTCCTGAGGTTAGCCTCCATAGCAGGAGAAATTTGTCTGGGGATAACTCTCCAGGGGTGCTTAAGCCAACAAGAAGTCTTGGGGGAAGGAAGATGGGGCACTGTCCTACCTTGTCACTGTCCACTGTGTTCTGAGAGGTCCTAGAGGCAATGGAGATGGTGTCTGGCTGGCTGCTCCCATCCCCTTGGCTGTCAACATCCTCCACTCCATCCCTGTAGGAAGAAGAAAAAACAAACAGGGGTGGGGGTGGGGGGAACCACTGTGGGTTTAGAGTACACAAGGATTTCCAGCTGGGCTGGCAGGGCAGAGCCTCAGCACTTTCTAGCAGGGATTTGTCTAAAATTATCCCACTAAAGGGAGCAGCCCTATGTGATTTTCAATGAGGTCACCTCTTACACTTAGTAAACATGGTAAATCACTATGTTGATAACTGAACACAAAATGACTCCTTCTCCATAACTCCTCTGACCCATGGTGCAGAGGGGGCAATTATTTATTCATTTTTCCTGGTAATGGGTCTATAAAAGGCAGTAGGAAGAGGTATATGCTACTTAGAACCTAGGCTTCTATCCCATTGACTGGATCATCGCCCCAAATCCCAGAGTTCAGGGTATCCAAGTAGTTTTTCTGCTGCAGTAACAGGATGGGGGCTGGCTCATAGCTGGCCTATAAAGAAAACAGAACTGACAAGATATTGTTTTGACGTGTGTTTCTTCTGCTTGAGAAAATGGGGTGGGATATTTTCTCCAGGGGAGATTATCTTTGGGAAGTTCCTGATGTTGGACCCTTAACTCCTCGAGATGGAGAAGTTTATTGCCTTCATTTTGGTGGGTCTTGTTGATCTCATGCTTATTTATGATGACTTCTTATCAGCACAGAAGGCCAAGGCATCTTCTCAAAGATAGGAGAACAGTCACAGATTCCACAGCAGCTTTTGAGACAGCTGTGCTCTGAGCGTCTGATAAGACGGGCTCCCGAGAGCACTCCTGCCTTTGGACTCCTTCCTGGGCCCTGGACCATACAGCTGTCCCACTCATGTGCTCCTTCAGCTCTCCACCCTTAGAACTGTGTCCCAATTCTGCACTGAACCCATAGCCAGGGCCAAGGGGGATTAGATGCCTGGGAGCTAGAGAAGGCTGAACGGTCTGTGTCAGGAAGAACTGGAGCAGATGTGGGCCAGGGGTTGGATAAATGAGCACAGGAAATGACAGCTCTTCCCATGGAGGCTTTGATGAAAGCCGCAGCCCTGATACTGCTTATGGAGACGTAATGTCATTAGAAGGAAGGTGAACTCGCTGTCTGAGGATGTTACCACATGGTAAAATGCCCCATATATTGAAGCCACCTCATGGAGTCTAAACAACCACAATCTCTCCTGTGTGAGTGTATGTGGACATGTGTGTGTGTGTGTGGGCATACATGTGATGCATATGTATTTACACAGTGTCTACTAGTCATAAGAAGTGTTTTCTTCCACCCAGAACATTTCTAAGTTCACTGTTCTCTAACCAAACACTTGTGGGGTTGGGAAATGCCAATTTATTTTAATAATATAAACCACACATTCGTAGGAAGGAAAATCTGCTGTAAAAAGAAATTATGTGATGCATTTTGCAACCAAAAATAAAGGTCATCTGTTGTTTTAGATATCTGGGCCACTGCTCCCCACCATTTGTAGATAGTTGAGAGTTGGCTGTACTTTCTGCTTCCCACTATTCTGGCCTATAGCAGGGCCTTATGGTCCACTCCAGATGGAGCCAGTTCTGGGGGATGTGGGGAGCCTATCCAGAAGTGTGGGAGTATTCTCCAAGCCAATCCCCTCCTCCATAAACCCTGTCCCCATATCCATGGAGCCAAGCTCATGAAATTACAGATTGCCTGGCTGTTCTCTGCAGTGTCTGCTAAGGTTTCTCACCCTCTCATGTCAGGACAACGACAGAGAAAAGGTGGGGAGCATTTCCGAGGTATGTCAAGTCCATCCCATGTTCTAGAGATGCTCAAATTCTCCTACTGTAGGAAAAAGGGGCTCTTCACAGGGTAACTCTAGCTAACCTCACCTGGATATCCCTTTCCACCATGGTCCTGGACATTCAGTTCTCTGTAACTGTTTCCATTCTGTCTTCATTACTAAAGTAGGGGCTTCCTGCAGTAGGGTCTGTCTCCAGTGCTAAGCTGAGTCTACCCCTCACCTGGACTCTGGACATGGGTACCTGAAATCAAAATGACCCCTCCTCCACTACAGTCACAGTTTATCTTTCCAGTACTGAGAGGTGACCTTATCCTGGCCATGCTGGTCTTGGAGCATCTGCTCTGTGGTGCTATCTCTCTCTACCTTTATCACACCCTTCTTTTGGCTACCACCTCCCTCTAGACGAACGCTGCTACTCTGCAGGCCCTTCTCCCCAGCCTGTGTATCCTGGTTGGCACCAGAGAGTGAATTACTTCTGGATTTATTCCATTCATGAAGAGGGGAGGAGACGAGAGCCTGTTACCACCAACGATCATCACCCCTAAAAGTCTTCTTTTTTTCTTTTTTCAAAATTGACACGAAACGTTTGTATGCTTTCTTTGGAAGTGTCCTCCAAAAGAGTCATTGTAGGTGACTGTCACATGGAGACTTGAGAAAGAAATACTTAAGAAGTCATCCACTAGTCTAAGGGAAACCGGGATTTAGAGGGGCCCAGAGAGATGAAGATACAAAGAATAAGTCCTCTTCCGCCCGATCACATTGCTTATCTAGGATGAATGAGGGTGAGGACTCTGGGGGGTTGCAGTAAATCTGTGAGGATAACCCGACCATCGTACCTCCCATGCATTACAATCTGCAAAGCCCTTCTCCCATCTAACGACTCCAGAGAGCTCCCCACTCTGCCCATCTCCTTCCCAAAGCCTCCTCCAGATACTCCACTCTGATGCTCATCCTAAAGCCCCCACTCTTTGAATTCTTACAGCATTTACTATCCCTACACGTGGTACTGGTTCTTCTTCTCTAACTATTCCATGGGTGAGACTTGACTGTGAGATGGTTCTTGAGGGAATGGACTCATCTTACACTTCCTGTGGCACCTGGCAGAGTGTCTCTCAAAACTAAGCTCAGTGAAACACTGCTGAATTTAATTGACAGTCACAGATGAGATGCTTAGAGAGGAGACAGCTCATTTTAGGTAGAACTCGGTGGGGCTTCATGGAGAGGGGTGCCACCTGCAGAGCACATCGCCCCTGTGGAAGCAAAGGTTCACCCCATTCCCGCTCCCAGAAGCATGTGAGGCCGTGCTGGGGGGAGAGACGCTGGTTACCTCTTACTATTGTTCCTCTGTTTGGCTGGTGTTTTGGGGAGCTGAATTGGCTCCTTTAAAGCTCCTTTCAGGTGAATGATCCTTTCTTGAATCACCTCTCGTATGTTCTTGATCCATTCCTGCTTGGTTTCTATGTTGGAGGCCTGAAGTGCCACAGGGAGAAAGAGTGAGAACCCCTTCTGCCTTTCACCCCGCCAAAACAGTTCTCAAGCCTCCTCTTGCAGGCTGAATCCACTATTTTCAAGGATACCAAAGGCTTGAGGAGTCTATTTCTCATTTTATACTTATGACTCTTCAATCCCAGGGACATGCTTCTCTAACTCCTAGAACACACCTATGACCTCAAGATTCAATGGAGACTTGTTCAGGAGTGATTTTCAAAGTATTTAATAAGCTGTCAGGCACTGACTAATGCTGATATCCGCCCCGGGGCTGGAGCAGTGTTTGGAGGTCCCCACTGGGTCAGGGATGAACACATCAGTTACTAGATTCTGGGGAGGTCTGGGAGCAATGGGAAGGGCAGTGAGGGGGCATTTGGAGGCAGTGGCTATTTAGCAACTGGTATGCATAAATGTCAGGACATTCAGCACCTCGTATTGGCTACATAGGCTTGTACGGACTGAAAGCCACTCCTGAGTTTTTAGCCTGGTAAACCTGTTAATTGAAAGCATTGCTACCATTCCTGAACATCCCGTTTGACTTTGTGGAGTTTTTTTCAGGTAATTCTGGCTCACGGCAGGTAGCAGCCATGCTAGGAATTCAGAGTGACCAAGTGTGACTCTTTTGTCAGGGTTGGACCATCTTTTCTTTGGGGATGGACACTTCCCTGATAAGCGAATGACTGGTGGGGGCTCCATCTGCAGGCTGTCTTCTCAGTTAGATTAACACTACTGCAAGCACTGACTCAGTTCCCGGGCTGCCACGCTCTGGAGAGCTGAAATGACTCTTTAAGGTCATCATCTGGTGAAAGGCCCTTTCTTAACACTGGTCTCAATCAGCATCGTTCCCATGCTAGCATGATTTACTAGAGCTTCTAGAAAGTAAGTTCCCAGAGATAGTGTCCATCTCTTATACATAACTATCCCCCACAGCACTGAGCAGAACACCTTATACAGAGGAGGTGTTCAGGAAAAAATGTTGAATGACTGTGGAGCAAATCAAGGTGCGTTTTGTCAAAGGGCCAATCGTTGCTCTTGTCACTTGGAGGGGACACATACAGAGAGAACATAGTGAAGGGTCCCGTTGAGGAAAACCAATAGGCTGCTCCCTGCTTCTTCCCCCTATGCTCGTACAAGTGCACGGACTTAGCAGCCCACTGGTCTTCAAGATTTCGAGGCTGCTTTCATGACAGAATTTGCTTCTCAATACCCATGTGATGCCACCTTTCCCAAGACAGGCCCAGTGGCTCAGCAGAGTCTCCAGGGCCCCGCTTTGAGGTGAGATGTGCTCTCATCCCTCCACCCACCTCCACTACCCCACCCCTGCTCCTGTGCCCAGCAGAGAGCAGTACTTACTTTCAGCACTGTTTTATTGTCTGAGGACGGGGTGCGCCCGGACCACAAGGCGAATTTGCAGGGATCGCCTTCCACGTGCTCGGTCACACCCAGCTCTGAGGTCTGTAGACAGGAAATGCCTGTGAGAGGCGGGGAAGGGGAGGGCAGTGGGGAAACTTAGGGCTGGGGTGGGAAGGGAAGGCAACAAAGAGGAGAGGACCGAGGAGGGGCTCTGTCAATCAAACTTCAACAGACTAGAGATTCTGTTCATCTACCCAGGATGAAAGGACTTACAGGCACGTGCCTGGTTAGCAGGTAGCAGGGAGGGAAGGTGAAGAGGGAAGTGCTAAAAGCAAACAGGAAGAAGAACTGTGAACTCTAAAATGCAGAAGGGGAGTTGAGGGGGCGCGCTTTCCAATAGGAGGCCCTTTCATTTGTCCAGGATGGTTTTGGGGTGGCGTCAGGGGCAGAGAGGAGCTGAGTGTTCAAGACCCTTCCTGCCCAAGGGCGCCATGAAAACAGGGAGTCTTGTCTTACCCCACCGACCCCACCTACCAGTAGCTTGTTCTTGTAAACATATTTTGTGTGTCCTGAAGAGTCTTTGATCTCCTTGCTAAAAACCAAGGAGATCTCAAAGAGGAACAAGTGCCGTTCCCGCCCCTTCCGGATCAGCGACTTCGGGTCCCACACTTGAAAGGCATCCTGGAGAATCAGCTCCCCCTGCACGTCCAGGTTCTCATCAAACCCTGAAAAACAACCATGTCCACCCTGTGGGGTTTCTCCACGCCACATTCGGGGCACCATGTTCTGCTCCCTGCTCAGAGAAAGGCTTCCCACTGGGAGCCCTCAGCTACCACAGCGCTTTTCTCTCCTGACTGATTCCTGAGACTCCTGGACACTTGAGTGGACAGCTCCACGGAACTGTAAGCAGATCCCCTTCCCACGCCAGGTGTCCTATACATAACCAGTACTAGTGGAATCTCCTGCCAAGGTCCTATGCAACTTCCCCCAGCCTCACCGTTAGCTGGGGACCTCCTGCAAGGGCAGACTCTTATCTCCTTCTTCCTCCACAGCTCCCCGCTGTCTCTGACTCGGCTTGACGTGGGGCTGAGGACAAATACTGTCTGATTGAGTGTCCTTGACTCTACTTTATTTGTCGTGGCTTTCTTTCTTATATTCCACTCCTAGGATTCTTCCCTTTGATTGCTCCTGTACGGTGTGGTGCACAAGCCTTCAACAGCTTATAGTTATACCACTTTAAATCTGTAACAGAGGTTCTGAAACTTTAGCATGCCTAAGACTCACTTGCAGAACTTGTAAAAACATAGATTCCTGCCCACCCCTCAACCCCCAAGAGACTGGGATTCAGGAGGCGTGGGGTGGAGCCCACAATTTTGCACTCAGATAAGCTCCCAGGTGCTGTTGCTGCTGGTCCAGAGACCATGCTTGGAGCAGCTGGATCTGGAATACAGGTCAGGGACAGGCTGGAGCAGAAGGGAACTTACAGAGGAGGATACCCAGGGGTGGGCGTAGGGGTACAAACAGAAAAGAAAGCAGTAGAGAAACTGTGACAACAGGAACACCTTCAGATGGTCAGTCCTCAGTCTGGAGAAGGTAATTAGGTCCTTGCATGAAGAATTGGGGCTTCTTGTGCTAAGGGTGGCCCAGGAAGTACTGAGACTGGCCACGTCCTTTAGATGGGAGTGGGGTGGGAAGGGGACGTGATGGGGGGAGATGGAGCCCAGAAGAGAAAAAACAGCCCACAGATTCACGTTTACAATAGAGTACACTTATCTCCCTTAACACCTGTTTGCCAGCCCAGACTGGGATGTTGAGTCTTAACTCATCTAACAACTTCCACTCAATACCGCTGCTCTGCTCATCTGTTTTGCAGTGTTAAGAGCACTTTTTTGGAGTCTCATGCCACTGGATTTCTGGGTCCCAAGAATATGATTCCAGTAAACATAATGTGCTTGGGTGGAGTCCTACCAGGTTTATTTGGCTGGATTTCTCAGTGCTAGGAAGGGCATAAGAGTGGTTACACACCAACGTGAGTGTACTTAATGCCACTGAACAGTATGCTTAAAAATGGTTAGAATGGTGAACTTTAAGTTATGTATATTTTACCACAATAAAAAAAAAGAAAGGCACAAGGCTGAAGACATTGTGTGTGTGCGTGCATGTGTGCGCATGTGTGTGTACAGGATTTCTACTTATTCTGATGACAAATGCAATGCAAATACTGTGCAGATGAACAGGACTGCTGTGGGTCAGGGCTGTAGCACATTTATAGTAAGGATGATGGCCTGTCTTAGACCACCTCACAGGCAGCAAACTGTCCACTACCAGAAATGGCTTAGGCCTGGTCCTACCTGGAGGCGATGTTAGCTGAGCTGGCCCCTGTGGAGCTCCTCTCACACCTCCGAAGACCTATGCAACAACTTGGCATTTCTCCTCTCCTCCAGCATTGCCCCTTGCTTGACGTCATGCCACTTCCCTCCCACAAGCTCCCTGGTCTTAGGAAAGAAGGAGGCTCCCCCAGGGAGGCTGGGAGGACAGCTACCTTCCAGCATGCTGACGTGCATGGCATCATTGGCTTTCTTTGGGACACTGAGCATCACCTCCAGGCCATCCTTGAGCTCCCCTTTCCCTTCTTCACAGCAAGTTAAGAGTTCCTAGGAAAAAAGTCCAGACACAATTAGAACCATTTCTCCAGCTTCCCCACCCTCCCACACCTAACCCATCAAGGCAATTATACACCAGCTTCACTCTCTTATAATGGCTCCCTCTAAACTATAAAGAAAGTGGGTGGGGTGGGAGGTTATCTTCCAAGAATTCAGCCTCTATTTTTTTTTTTTCCCCAGACTGAGCTTCCTCAGCTCAAACTAACTCAGTTCAACCCAACTTCCAAGTGGCTGGCACTCGAAGTCAGCAAGGAGGGCATTTTCTGTCACTCGACTGCCCTCCTGGAGAAGGGAATGCCCCTGTCAAAGCACGTGAACAGAAATGCAGCACTGTGGAGTCATCAAGGGGAGACACAGGGTCTGCAAAGACGCGCAGCACTCTTAGGTCACTCACTGCACATCTATTGCTAGCAACACTTTTTTTTTTTTTTTGAGGAAGATTAGCCCTGAGCTAAAATCTGCCACCAATCCTCCTTTTTTTGCTGAGGCAGGTTGGCCCTGAGCTAACATCTGTGCCTGTCTTCCTCTGCTTTATATGTGGGATGTTTGCCACAGCATGGCTTGATAAGTGGTGCGTAGGTACGCACCCAGGATCTGAGCCCACGAACCCTGGGCCGCCGAAGCGGAAGGTAGCACCACTTTGATTTATGTGCCTCTACTGCCTGAATGCTGACTTCCGCCATGCTGGGAGCAACCTGGGGTTACAGATATTATAGTTTTACAGCATTTCAGAAGTATAAAAGATTTTTTAGATCATATGGATCAGGAGTTCCTAACCTGGGGCCCACAGTGGGATTCTGGACTAGTCCTTTCATTGTCAGATGAGGAAACTGTGAATAAGAGTTATTCAGATTTCCCCAGGTTATAGAATTCACTGGAGGCCATGCAGGGGGCTTGAATCCAGGTCTTTTGGATCGGGGTCTAGTACTCCATCCATCATGCCAGTCCTGTCTCCCCCATGTCCTCCACCACACTGAGACTTCCCAGAGCATGCTCTCTCTTTTACTTCCTCATTGGAGACAAGACCACCTCCATAAAAGATACATAGTATCTGGGTGATGGAGAAAAGATAATTTCTAACTAGCTTAGGAATCATAAAGACCATTTACAATGATTTTGCCCAAACCAGAGGTATGCTGACTTTCATTTTTTCTATCAGGGTTATTTTATCTTGCTATCTTTGTCACTGTGTGGGGAAGGGAGGAATGTGGGATGATGGATGGATGGGAATTCACTTCCAGGAAAGAAAGAAATTGACCAGATCAAACCTTGTAAACACATTAATGACAGACCCCTTGTCAAATAAACTAATGGCACTTGCTAGCAGGGGAATCCTTATCTACAGAACACTTTTAGTAGGATATATCTGGCCTGTCTAGGACTTCTTATGATAAACCAGCCTGGAATCTGTGGCTTTAGGGTGTTTCCTCCCTGGAAAGTATCACATAAGCAACTATCTAAGTAAAAAGTGAGGGGGCCAGCGCTGTGGCTGAGTGGTTAAGTTCATGCACTCTGCTTTGGCGGCCGAGGGTTTTGCCAGTTCGAATCCTGGGCACGGACATGGCACCACTCATCAAGCCATGCTGAGGCGGCATCCCACATGCCACAACTAGAAGGACCCACAACTAAAAGAAACCACACAACTATGTACTGGGGGGCTTTGGGAGAAAAATGAAAAAAATAAAAAAAATAAAATCTTTAAAAAAAGTGAGGACATTTCATGACCAAAATGGATCTCTTCCGGGTAAGTGGTACGATGCAACACACATCATTTAGATGACCTTGTATGTTAATCTGGGCCACAGCACATCCTGAGGCTGCAAGGAAGGTCTTGGAACTGTTGGTGGTCCTGGACTTCTCTCTGTTTTACCTCTGCCTTGGGATTATTTGTATCCTTGAAATTGTTAGTAAAGCTTATACTTGGTAAGATATCTGATTAGTGAGCATCTGATATGAAAATCCAATCCTTTGGGTTATCTTGGATACACTCCCATACAAAGAAGGGAGCTTTGCATGTCTAAAGAAGAGGTGAACTGTCCAGAGCACATGTTTGGGAGGTGGAAGTGACCGGTCCTCAGCTCTGCTTGGTTCCAGTCAGTATGATGGCTTCGTTGTTCAGAAGTTGCACTTACTTCTGCCAACCTATAGTTCTCTGACTCTCCCCACCCCTTTCCTAATTTTAACCCTGCCAACCTTGTTCTCACACATCATCAAAGGAACTCTTGAAGCAGAAACATAAGAGAGAAATAAGAAATATGCTTCAGTTTGCAACAGAAAACACCAATTTGTTTAACCCCCTCAAAGCAATTTGTCAAGTCCATCAATCTACCAGCAAAGCCAATAAGTTCTCCTTGGATCCTGGCTATAGTTTATGATAAGGAGAAGGCTCCACACTTAATTCAGACCCCAAAGGACAGCTGCAGCTGATTTACACAGAGAATATTGAACACTCTGACATACAGTTTTTACTTTCATGCAACACCTCCACTGAGGAACCCCAGAGGGGACTGATAATTAAATATCAATTTATTTGGTGTAAAACTGACTTTAATGAGAAAATAAATCCTGTATTATTTATTTATAGTAAAAGCTCAGCAAAACTATTTTCCTTTTACTCAGCAGGCACTCTGCCACCAGCACATTTAAAAGAGGCCAAAATTATCTTGTCTTTTTTTCCAATAATTTTACAACTTCCCCACAATCAAATTCACACTACTTCATTTTTTCCCTTCTCAGTTACCTGCACAGTCACCTGTTCCTAAACATCCAATTACAGAGTGAAGGCCCAGAGCCCACCCTCCCATCCGTATAAGCAAAACGCAGGGCAGCCTATCCGTTCTCCACTTTCCTCCCTTGTCTGTGTCACACCCATAACCCCAGGAACCTCAGCCTTATGGAATCGACAGGGAGAGGTGAGAAGCTCTATTTCCCTTAGAACTGCATCTTACTTGATTTAAGACCCTGATAGTGTGGATGGGCAAGTTGGCTTTTTTTTTTTTTAAAATTTACAACCCCATCCATTCCTGAAAAGCCTTTGGAATACTTAAAAAACCACCAAAATAAAATTAAAAAAATCTTCTGTCACAAGAAAAATCGTTTAGAAGGGTCAAGCATTAAGTGGGTTAGGGAAGGAGAAGATAATTACACACAGAAATCTGGGCTGAGGAGAAAGTATAGTCATGTGACACATAACAACATTTTGGTCAATGACAAACCGCAGACATGACGGCGATTCCATAAAATTAGAACCATACAGCCTAGGTGTGTAGTAGGCTACACCATATAGGTTTGTGTAAGTACACCCTTTGATGTTCACATGGAGAAACTGCCTAAAGACACATTTCTCAGAAAATGTCCCCATCATTAAGCGATGTATGCCTGTCCTGCAACTAACCACGGAACTCAACGCTAACTGTCTGATAGACAAAGGCACAAAGAAGGACCTCAAGCTCTTCTGATTTAAAGGTAGAAAGCACATCCAGTTTTCAGGCGGAAAACCCCAGGCCCTATTCTGAGATCTTTTCAAAATCTCTGTTAGTCTTTCATAAGAAACTTAAAAAAACAAAGAGGATGACATCTTCAAAACCGGTGCTGCCAAAACAGCTGCGATGTTCTGCACACTGTTATTTCTCACACCAATCCTGGATAAAGGCCCAGGGCACGAGGCCTCGGGGTCATTCTCTAAGGACTTCTGCAGGGTTGGATGACTTGAGTGCCTGGAAGCAGAAGCTCATAGTCTCTTCTTGGAGACGAGGAAGGAGGTTTGAAGGAGGAGGATGAAGGGAGAGGATGGCGCAGGGCTCTGCCCTGACCCAGAGCGGGTAGGAGAGGGTCAAGGCACGGGCCCACTGCTGTCCCCTCTCTTCTCATCGTGGAACCACAAGCATTAAGCCAGGGAGACCCCATGGGCCAGACCCACGGGCATGCTCCAGCGTGACTAGAAACCTAGATTTGAAACCAGACTGGTTTTCATGTTTAGTGAACCTAGAATGTACGAGATTCTGCAAGCGTCTCTAAACGGAAGCTGAATTTCATCTGATTTTCTCTGAAACTATACTACTTATAACATGCCTCTCACTATCCTTTTATACTTTGCATTTGAGGAGCGACCAGCAAAATATTCAAACTTAGGGAAAATTCCACTCTTACACCTTAAGAATTAATATAGACAGGGGTTATATAACTGCCTCGGTCAATTTCCCAGGCTTTCTGGGGAAATGTCATATTTTCAGACTGTCAGTGTATCTTTCTCTGAAAAGAAATCCGCCCAAATTACATATTTTATGTAATTTGATTATTTGACTTTTAAAGAAAGGATTTTGGAGAAAATCCAAATCTCTTGGTTGGCTCCAGAAGAATCCCTAACATATGGGATCCTACAGACACAAGAGTATCATCGTGTTTTAATGTGTACACTTTGATTATTTTCTCTCAAAAACCTCAGTCTTGACAAATGCAGAGATCAAGGCAATGGTAGGTGCTGCCCTGGGCCTCTACTGCCCATGCAGACTGGCAGTGCCCCTAAGACCTTGACCTCTGATCCTGTCAGAAGCAGGGGCCACTGGGAGGAATCTGCCCCAGGAGGGAAGAACAGGGGAGGCTCTGAGTACCAGCCAGTGCCTGGGGTGGCAGTCACTAAAAGTTGAGCTGTGGTAGGGTGTGAAAATAGTCACAACTGGTTCCTGCTCCCATTTCTCCTCTTTCCCCCAACAAATAAGCAATCTGGAATTTCACGGGTTAGGACATGCAGTCTGGAGGCAGCCATGCAGTGTGGGCTCATCTCTGAAGTTCTGCTTGAGGTGGAGGAAAGGTCTTCAGGTGGAAATTTGCCCATCCTTGGGCAAAACTGGGGCTCCCTGGCCTTGCTCAGTAGTGTCATAGGGGGGGTTCCATTGAGGGGAGGAGAGGTACCTTCAGGAGCAGTTGGTACTTGGTGATCCTCTGGACAGGCTTAATTAGGTAGGAAGAGATGGAATTGGCCAGACCATGCCGCTGCTGGATCTCCTACAGGGATGAAAACGGGCACCATTAGACACCGAGGGGATGTGCAGGTGTGTGTTCTGGGAGGAGGCAGGTGGGGCAAGATGGGAGGAGAAATGAAAAAGGGCAGACAATTATGAGAAACTGTTCTTCGACGGGGAGAGGGGATAAGAAAGAGAAACAAGAGAGAGCAAGATGCATATATAAATAGAAAAAAAGGAGAGATGGTGAAAGGGGATAAGTTTTAGGAAAGGAAAGCTTTAGGAAAGGAAAGCAGATGTGTGAAGCAGAAATGGAAATTAAGAAATGGAGAAAGATGAAAGTAGGAAAAGGGAGTGGGGACATAAGCAACAGACAGAAGGGGGAAGGAGAGGTGAAGAAGTGGAAGTGAAAGGAAATAAACCCAGAATGGAGGAAATAAAAGGGGGATGAAGGGAAGATGGGGATAATGGAAGGCAGAGCGCAAGGCTCTTATTTCTATTCTGATGGCGCCTGAGCCTCCGCCTGCCCGCAGTCTCCTTAGAATAGCACGGGACTTCTCTCTTTTACTATCTCTCCTCTCTTCAAATGCAAGACATCCCAACTTTGAACCACCACTTCATTCTTTATAACTTTCCATTGTGATCAACGGTACCTCTTTCATTCTTCAGATCTTGTGAGCTGGAAACCATGGAATCATTTTTAGTTGTTTTTCTTCTTTTATCCCTGGTGACAAGCCTTTCCTCTCCATGTTCACCAGCATCATCCACCTCATTCAGCCCCAGGCTAAGACCATGACCTCCAGCCGCTGTTTGTGGCTCTAGTCTCTTCTTTCAGTCCATTCTCTATCCTACTCTGAAAATGGTCTTCCATTCCCCGAGGTCTAGGTGTTATGAAGTTTAGAGAAGGGTACCTTTTAGTCCCTTGTCTCAAGTACCTTATATTCTAGCCAGCTGAGAATACTGACACACATAAAATAGAGAGCACAAAGGACAAGAGAAGGTTATTGCCTCTCATTGGTTATTGCCAGCGAGAACAGAGGGGAATCACTGGATACAGGAGTGGCCGTCAATGCTTTAGTAGCAGTAACGCCTTCAGCTGGATAGGAAGGGGGTGGTGAAGTAGAAAGCTGGAGCAATGGCAGTCTATAAAGGGGAAACATATAAAACAAAATACACAGGCTGATATAATCAGTGTGTATTTAGATGATAATGAGAACCATGCCTGAGGGTGTGGGGCTGTTTTTTGCGGTGATGAAAACATGTTAAAATTGACTGTGGGTATAGGTGCACATGTCTGCAAATACACTAAAACCACTGAATCGTACTCTTTAAACATATGTATAATCTATATCTATATCTATATCTGTAACTCCAGGTGTACAACATAGGGGCTTTTGCCCTGAGCTAGGATTAGTGAGAATAAAGCCTTGGGAGGAGCACAAGAAACATGTTAAAGTTGGACAAGATAGGACTTGCTCTGTGGCCATGGAGGAGGGTAAAGAAGAGGGAATAATGAGAAAATTATTCCATTTCCCACCAACTTGCACAGAAAGTAGCAATTTCCTTGCTCATCTGCCTCTTCCCTAACAGTGTGCCATTAAAGCAGGACTTGCTCAAGGAGGACGGGCAAAACAGCTGGCGGCTTGACTTTCTTTGGGCAAACGAACATTGTGAGTTATCTGGGAGCTTTGGCAAAAGAGCCAGGCTGTAATGCACCTCAGACACTCTTGCCTGGCTGGCAAGACGCCCAGCCCTGGGGAGGCCGCATGTGGAGCATCCAGGCAGGGGCTGCCTCCAGCGGCTGGGTCACCCAAGCCACACTGAGTAATCAACTCGGCATCAGACACCACAGCCTCGCAGTTCTTACATTTACAGCAAAATATTCTAGATCATGTGAATGTGTGGGCCTATCTGGGACTTCAATTTTCTGTGTTTTCTATGACAATGGATAATAAGAGACTGCCTTTATTGAGGGTTTCTTTCTTTTACAGAATGAAGGGCTAGAGCGGGTTGTTTCCCAGGGCAGAGCTCAGGGAAACCCTTCTGATGGAATGGAAAAAAGCTAGAAGATGATGCTTTCTGGAAAGCTGTGGGAACAGTGAGGAGAATTTACTGCTCTTCCTGCCCACCCCCAGGCCAAGCTCCAGGAACTCCTACTGGACTGAGTTTCTGGCTTCCACTGGCCTTCCCAATTAACGTGGAGACTCATCACGCTCTATGTTGGAAGTGGGGCATAGGGTGGGACATTTGGGTTATATCTGACTTATCAAAGCCTAGAAATTGGCTAGAAGCAGGGATGCGAGGAATATAGGACTAAAGGAAAATACAGTTTAGCACCCGACACTGTGATGAGTACAAAAATGAACCAGGCAAACCATCAGTCCAAGACTTGAGGGGCTCACGGGTTGGGGGAGGTGTGTCTAACAGAAAGGTACATTGTTAACCTGCCAAGAGGCAAATCCGTACAAATGCTATAACAGAGATACAAAGTATAATGCACACTGGAGAAAGGGAAGAATTCATACAGGAAGCAATACTTGCCCTTTAAAGGATAGGAAGAAGTCTGAAGAGTGACTGTGTGCGGTTGTATGTGTGTGCATGCTTGCATGCGTGCATGGTGGGCACAATCCATCTTAGGCAGAGAGAGCAGTGCGAGCAAAGACAAGAAAGCAGGAGTCTGAGGCATGCTCAGAGCACAGGACATGCATGTTTGGACAAATGCTAAGTGGAAGACAAGGCACAATGCATTTAAAACTTCAGAAAGACCCTCTGGATACTGTTGATGAATAATTAACCAGAAACATCTTAAGAGAAATACATTATTAAGCAAAAATAATAGTGGTATAGAGCATCCAATAAATTCTGATACCAAGTTAGAGTAGTATTTTTCTTGAATTTTCTGTGTTATCAAATCTAACCTCAGAAATTCCAGTTTGGGACACTTAGGATCATTTTCATATTAATGCTACATTTTTTAAAAGTCATGTATGTTTTTTCTCATCTGGATTTCTCCCATTCAAGCATTGTTCCTTCACTGAGCAACAAGACACTTGTAGAATCATTTCTGTTATGGCAGTGTCAGGCTAGAAAGATGCTCAGACAAGGTTTATTTTGTAAACTTGAGTATGGGAACCATGTTTAAATGTCTTCCCTATGGCGCCTTGCACACTATCTTGAATGCAGCAGACAGCCAAATATTTATGGAAAGAATGAAAGCAGGTAGGCAGAAAGATAGATTGATGGACATTAAAAAGTTCCGAATTTCAAGTTTCTGTCACTTCTGACTACCAGAATGGCCATCACTGCTACAGTCTGTCTCCCACTGAAATTCCTTCTATTCCCTCATTTCTTCTCTCCCTCTTGCTCATCCCTTGCATCTTGCAGTGGCCCACTTGATTCTCTTCACTTTACAGCCAACAGGTCACTCTCTGGGGACACAGACTTACACCCTCATTCGCCGACAGTACTGGAGACTCATTCAAAACCAAAGCACCTAACGAGGCACGTCGGCCCTGACTCTTCTCCCAGCTTTCTTACAGCACAAGTGCTCAAGCCGGCTGCACGTCACTCTCACCTGGAAACTGTTAAAACTCTCAACGCCCAGGCCAGATCCAGGCCAAGTATATAAGAAGCTCAGGGGTGGGACCCAGGAATCAATATTTTTCCAAGCTCCCCAGGTGATTCCAACGTGTAGCCAAGGTTGACACAAATGCATTAGAGCTGTGATTCTCAAACTTGAGTGGGCACCAGAGTCCCCTGGAGGGCTTCTTAAAACTCAGATTGTTGGGCTCCATCTTTAGAGATTCTGAATCAACAGATCTGGAGGGGAGGGGGTCCAAAAACATTCATTTCTAACAAGTTCTCAGGTGATGCTGATGTGGCTGGTCTGAGGACCACACTTTGAGAGAGCTGTATATGAGGTAGAAGTGAAACAGCTTAATCAACACCTGCATCATAGTAAGCCTCCCCTAAACATGAGGTTTACGGCCAGCTAGGTTTGGTGTTGAGGCACGGAGACAAACACGCCTCATCCAAAATCACGGCACTTGAGATGGGATGGGGAAAAAACAAAAGACAAACACGGCTTTTGTTTTTCTCCAAGATTTATCCATGAGACATGAGGTTTAGAGTGACCAGTAAAGAAAAATGAGGAAGAAAGGATAATTTAAAAATCGCTTATTCCAAAGTAGAGAAGCATTTCCACCTGCTCCTCAAGGGCTCAAGAACGGAAAATCAGAGCTTACATCAAAGAAGGTGCCCGCATGCTCCAGGATCAGCTGGTTGGAATCAGGCTTGTTTTTACAGTAGGTGACATACATCTGAAATTTGTCTGCCTAAAAAGAACAAAGACGATAATAGATAAGCATCCTTTACTTGCTCCTTCTGTCCTGAAGGCGCAGAGAGGGCTGCACAGTAAGCCCACGGATGTTGGTGCCTGGATTATCTGTGGCAAATGCTCTGGGCTCATCTGACCCAGGCTCCCCTAAGAGCTTTCTGGAGGCTTCCCTCCTGTCAGCAGGTGGGGAAAGCTTGCTGAAAGCAAGCTCATTCTAACACCAGTCTGTGCTAGAAAGACTTAGAAAAACCAATTCACATATCATAATGTATTCTGAAGTTGGACAGAATTTATTTAAAGATCGTTCCCCTGTTTTGGACTACCTACAATTGGGCTTCCCATCTTGAAAAATGACAGTATTTCAAAAACAAAAATCAGAGAAGGAAAATGAAGTACAGTCTCAGAGGTGGGCCTGCTTGTTCTCCAAATGTCTCCACTGGGGGAGTTTGTAGGGCATGTCAAGCGACCATGGCATCATCCCCAACTTCCCAGAAGCAATGACGGAGGCAATGGAGAGCAGGATGACCCTGCAGGGCAGGACCTGAGCAATGATTCCTAACTGGGTTGTTACTTCAAGTCAAGAAGCTTATGGCTTGGCAGCAACTCATTTCCTATTTCTCTCGGGACCCTCTTGGGCAGTCCTACACACCCTATCCACTGGGAAAGCTGTGTGTATTTTGGCTACCAAGCACTTTTCCTGTTCTTGAAATGCTGCCCATCTTGCTGCCTACAGCACATGTGGGATGTCCTCTTCTGAGAGAACTGCCTAGACACGTGTTAATTAGATCAGGTTTCTTTCATCCAGCACTTTTCTAAGTGCTTTACGTATATTAACTCATTTGATCCTCACGAGACCCCTAGGTGGTGAGTGCTATTATTATTACCCCATTTTATAGATGTGAAAACTGTGGCATAGGTTGGTTAAGTGACTTTAAATTCCTAGTTAGGAAGTGATGGAGCCCTGGCAACCTGACTCCAGGCTTCTTGGTCGTAATCACTGCCTTTCAATACATTACAGACAACTCTTTCTACTCTTTACTCCTGCACTACACTCATACATTAAGAATTATGAGACTTTAGAAAGTCATCTTGGAATAATTCTTAGCAAAAGGTGCATATTTTATGCAATCACCAAAGGTTTTCTGAAACCTAAGAGATGCTGATAATCACATTTATGGTTGGTTGTAAGGCAAATCTACAAATTGTATGAACCAAGATGCAAAAAAAAAAAAAAAAAAATCCCTTCTCTTAATGGTCTATCTTGTTTTTTCTCTACATTGGCTGTGCAAGAGATCATAAATTATTTATCAGTATTAATGTGATCTGTGCATGGGCTCAAGTATTTAGAGGCACAAAATGAGATGGCATCTGGGACTTCCTTAAGAAATGAGAGGATGCCAGGAAGCAAACATCAAGGTTTCATGAAAGGAAAGCAACTCAGGTCTTGAGTTGTGGGAATGGCTGTGATATTTATTACACGCCAGCGGACGGTCAACCATCTATCTCATCTGAAATATTTCCACCTATAAAATCTAAAACACAACCATAGCCCCTGCCTGTTCCATAGGGCTGTGGAAAGCATAAACTCTCTGAATCGTGAAGACATTTTGAAAAGTAATTACCCCATTTGGAGTGGAAGTTATGATTAGATAATTATTAAATATTAGAACTCCTGACCCTGGAGAAAGATTTCCATGTTTAGTTGCACTTGGCATCCTAGGTGCACTTCCCTGGAGATATTTGCACTCATATCACGAACCTGAGCTCAGAATAATGTGAAATGGGGATACAAATGGAGACTAACGTTTCTGTTTTTATAATTAGAATCTGGTACATTCAGTCCATTTACTCAGTCCATGACAATAGGACCAAGAGAGAGAATGCCTAGACATTCATCTTGTAGGTCAGAATTGGGATGGATACCCAAGAAGTCTGTTTTTCTCTATTAAGGAGGAAAATAGACGTAAAGGTTAGGTAGCTTCCTAAAGTTCTAATTCCCTAATCCTCATCCTGTGAAAATAACTAGTGGGTGGAGCTAGTATAGCTCCTCTACCAATGGTGGTGGTCCTGTTCCACTCTTCTGATATCTCAATTTTAGAAAGCTCTTAGAGAGCTTAAGATGGAACTTGGGGATGATGTCTAAAAACCTTTCCCAAGGAAGTCTCTGCTCCTCGGGGATGGACTACTTCTCTCAGATCTACTCATGACCCCTCTCTGCAGTCCCTGGTCCTGTGTTACGCTGGCAGTGACACCAATCCTCAGGTCAGGCACCAAATAGCAATGCCATCTGGTGCCACTTGCACTCCTGGAAAGTATGGGACAGCAGGAGAAGAAGGATTTCAGGTCAGTTACCCAGGTAACAAAGCAGTGTCCCACATCCTCAGGCAGCTGCTCGTACTTCTCCAGCTCTTTGAGGAAGATGCTGCAAGGGGAGAGAAAGGCTGAATCAGACACCTCTGGCCTGCTGACCACCCCCAGAGGGTTACACAGAGGCCAACACAACCCTGTAGACTCTCAGTTAGTTACACGTGGCTTCTCCACTCTCTAAGTGATACATGGTGAGGTGGAGTTTTAAATACATTTGAAATAACTTCATTAAAATTTATGTTAGTTGGGGGCGGGCCCCGTGGCTGAGTGGTTAAGTTCACCCGCTCTGCTTTGGTGGCCCAGGGTTTCGCTGGTTCAGATCCTGGGCGTGGACATGGCACCGCTCATCAGGCCATGCTGAGGTGGCGTCCCACATGCCACAACTAGAAGGAACCCACAACTAAAATATACAACTATGTACTGAGGGGATTTGGGGAGAAAAAGGAAAATTAAAATCTTAAAAAAAAACCTGTTAATTGATTGAATTACATATATATAATTGCCTCTTAAAATAATATTGTTTCCCTCAGGAGCTTACACTTCTCAGGCTGAAAATAATTAAATATTATACTTGTATTAGACCTTTCATTTTAACAGCAACTATGAATCAAAATTTTTACTCAAGTAACCTGAGCACATTGTGACATTAAAATATAAATAGGTAGATACCAAAAAGAACAAAATAAACATCACCTACAATCCCAGAGATAAAGTGGAAAAATTTTAAATACTACACTGACTTCTTTCTAATTCTTGGCCTTCTTCCACCAGTAGCCAGTCTGTGCTAAAAACTATGAATTAATGTTTCCTAACGCAGACATCGTTAGGAAAGAAAATTCATAGGGAAAAAGTCACAATATATTTCAAAGCTGAATTGAATTACTACCGAATTATCTTCCATTGTGGATATCCGTGCTATGGCTCCTTTCTGTGTTAACAAATAATAAAGAGTTGACTATACTCACTTCAAATTAATATATTAACCAATTGGTTTGAGCTCAGAGAATATAAACTCAAATAAGCCAGCATCATTGGAATGGAATTTGCTTTTTAAAAATCACACAAAATTTTTCAGATAAAAAATAATTAGCAAGTGATGGGGAAACATACCGATGGAAATGGAAGATGGTGCAATCTTTACAGAGGGCAACTTGCCAAGATCTATCAAAATAAAAAATGGGCTTATCTTTTGCCTCTGCAATTTTAATGCTGGAAAATTTCCTATAGTTGTATCTACACATGTATGTGATGATGTATACACGTGACCATTCATTGTGGCACTGTTTGTAATAGCAAAAGATGGTCTGCAGATGACAAAGTATTTAAGCTATGGCACATCTACGGAACTTAAGATTACATAGTGATAAAAATGACGACGTTTTCTGTGTTTTCATGAGGAAGATCTCTAGGGCAGGCTGTCAAGTGAAAAACGCAAGGTGTGGAAGAATGTATATAATATGCTGCCTTTTGTCTAAGTAGGGAATATATTTCCTTATCCAACCCAAGAAACTAAAGGTCACAGGGTCTGATTTCAGTTATGCAAGATAAGTTCTGGAGATCTACCCATATGTCTAGTTCCTATAGTTAACAATACTGTCTTGTATACTTAAAATTTGCTAAGAGGGTAGCTCTTATGTTATATTTTTACCACATGAATAATAATAATGGTGATAATAATAACAATAGGAGTAGGAAGAAACTTTGGGAGGTGATGAATATGTCTATGGCCTTGATGGTGGTGATGGTTTCACGGGTGTACACTTATCCCCAACCTCATCAAGCTGGACACATTAAATATGTACAACTTTTTACATGTCAATCATACTTCAATAAAATGGTTTAAAAAAAGTGATGACCATAGGAAACCAGGTGAAGGAACAGGGTGGATGAAGATAGTGGTGGTGGGACTTCTCAATCTATACCTTCTTATTTAATTTTGATTTAAACAATTAATTCAAAAATTAAATCAAAAGTATAAAGCAATTTTGAATTATCCTACTACTTACCTCTAACACTGGAAAAAATAAATTTTATTGATTTGAATTACTCTCCCTGGCTACTACTGTCCAAGCATTCCAGCAGTATCTTATAATTACAATTGGTTATGCATTCTATGTATGTGTTACTTGTGTTTCCCCTACGATATAAAAAGATGTTTTTGCTTTAAATATATATATATATGTACAATTAAAAAATATTTGGCAAGTCATACTTGGAAAGCCAAATGCTAATAACAATGGGAGGATTACTGATGATTTTTTTTCTTTCTGTCCATCTGCATTTTAAACCTTTTGTACAATAAATGAGTATTACTTTAGTAATAAGAAAAAGTCACTTAAAAACACTTTGGGGACTCCTAGCAGTCCCCATTTGATGATAATCATCTTTCCCCTCACGTGTGAATTTTAGAGTATCCTGATCTAAATCAGGGAACGGGAGAAATTATAATGCAGTTTGGGCTTTAGAAATGCAAGTATACAGAATCCATAAGGTATCATATTTACTGCTACTTTCAGAAGAATTGCAGGTAACATACGTGTATTTAATACATCTAAAATAGAAATAGGAAAAAATATTATGTAATGCCATAATTGAGAAGCAAACTTTTTTCAAGGCCAAAAAGGTAACATCTTTTTTTGTTGCAAAGAGAAGTAATTTGGCTCATCACTCTCTCTACTTATATAATATGTAATATAAAGTGAATTTATTTTTAAGATATTATATATTTTCGTTTCTGGAACAGAATTTTAAAAGACATTTACTATGTGGCTCTTTTCCAGGAGGAACAATAATGATGTCCAACATCTTCAGAAGAAGTTCTTCAGGCATTGAGATATTCTTTACCTAGTCATTTCTCACAGTGGCCTTCAATATAAACCTCAGTGAAGACAATGGACATCCAGCCCTGAGCTGTGAGGGGCTGAACAGGGCCTGGGGGTGGGGGTGGCTTGGCAAGTTGGGGAAGAAACTGATGAGCTGTTGCAGGACAAGGACTGTGCAAGAAAATGAACCGCTTTAAAGAAAGGAGGACCCAGGAGGGAGAGAGAACTTGGAATGAGAGAGAAAGGAGAAAGGGGAGACTCTGGAGGCCCGGCACCTAGGATAAATGCTCTCGGCTCGCAGGAAACCTCCACTTCCCCACTCTCAGGACCTCTATCCATCTAAGGATTATTCTTCCCACTCCAGCCCCCTAAACTCTGACTCCCATGGCACCCAGGCCCTTCTCCTTTAAGGGTGATCAAATAAATGGTAAAACAGCCTATGTCAAAAACCCATGGGAGGGTGCTCAGTTTGAAAATTCTCAAGAGATAAAGCATTATAAAATGAATTAAATGCAAAGAATATTATTTGTACAATTAATGCCTTTCTAGAAAATGAAGGTTTTAACAGCAACTGCCACTCGCCCACCCTTCTTCTGACCCCAGGTCTCACTTTCCTTCCCTCCCACAACCAAGCCCAAGTTAAAGACCTAGACTTCACACTTAGTCACAGGTGTGAGGTCTTCCAAAGCTTCATTTTTTTTCATCTTTAAATAACAGCCTCGTGGGCATGTTGTATGGATTTAATAAATCCGCGTGGTAAAGAACCCAACCCCCGGGCCTGGCATACAGTAGGTACTAGGGAAACATTAGTCCTTCAGGATCAGTGGGTCCCAGTCTTCAAGCCCACACTCTCTTTGTCATACATCTCTCACCCTCTTCCCCACTCCTGGACACGTACACCTAGGGAGCTCTCCCCACACTCTCTTTGTCATACATCTCTCACCCTCTTCCCCACTCCTGGACACGTACACCTAGGGAGCTCTCCCCACACATCTGTTGGAAAATCTATAGTAGATTACCTCTCTTAAACCTTATCCTGGGAAAATCTTGCCTGGGTGTTATGCAAAAATTGGATTTCAAGGTCACATATCATTTAAGTTTGGGAAATCCTGGGCTAAGCTGGTTTCTTTCCTGCAGGACTTCCAAAATCCCATAATATGATGAGGTACATTATAAATCTCTGAAGTAGCTATAGTGTGCATTGCTTCCCAAACTTCCTCGCGAGTGGAATAGCTGTGGGGGGAGTATCTGACTTTGCTGTTCTTGGAAAAGCCTAGTTAATGACCCACACACTTGGCTGTGCATGGACCTCTGGGGTCAGGATCAGAGCATCTGCATTGTTTAGAAAAGTTCCCTGGGTAATTCTAATGTGTCCAGGCTGTAGATCAACATTTGAAGCCAAACTAGATTCCAGCGTGTTCCCAGTCAGCAGATCCTACATCAACTCTATATGATTTAATTCTTGAATAAAAAAAGCTAAGAATTAAAAAAAAAAAACTACTTAGCTTGTGCTGGGCATATCAATTCATAACTCTGAGTAAGATATTCACTACCATCTCAATGTAATTGTTGAAGGCAAGTGGCAATATTAAACTCTATTTTGCTTTTTAATTTGCAGCTTATGAAGATGACAGATTTTCTGATCAATATCACTCCCCCTACTTCAAATAGACATGATGAGTTTAAATTAAAGCACGAGAGGTCACAACACTCTTCACAAATGATGGAATATTCCACTTCAGCTCTTCCATTGCAACATGTCGGTCCTCACGATTGCAATAATTACATGTAATAAATTGTGGGAGAACGAGCAAAGCAAGTAGTTTAAGTGTTTGTGTGAACGTCTAGCGTTTTTCCAGGCATGAATAAAACTTTTAAAGAAATGTCAGGATCAAAGCAATGTCATTACTCTATTAAATTATTATGATGCAATATGTTCTGAGGTTCTTTATGAGCAAGATGCTTCCCTCTGGCTTTGTACTGAATCTCGGGAAAGGAAACCTCTAGCATTTATTGTTAGAAAAACTTTTTGGGGTTTGTCATCAAGAACAGAGGAAACAGCACGGTTTCAAAGAGGTCCTGAGTCATTTTGATTTTGTTATTCTCTCCAAAGGTAAATTTGGGCTATCGTCTCCCTGCTTCTGGAGAAGTGTATCCTGAACCAATGGGCTCACCACGTGGTCCAGCAGACAGACCGTGACATCAAGGGTGCAGTCTGCATCTAAAGGGGAAT